CGTCGGCAAAATTCAAAACTTCAATCTCACCTATCAACCATCACCATTCATAACTCGGACAGTCTGACTATCTGCCAACGTATGAACGTGTGATCGATCCCAGTCATCGATCCACTACCTTCCTCGCCCTCAACCCCATTTCGACATAGCTTCTGAAAGTCTCATGCCTTACACGCTCCTTTGATTCTGTCCGTACTTGATCTCCTCCACTCACTTGCTTAACCCGTACTCTTGCCTGGTTTGATGTCATAGCAACCGTTTACCAACTACTACCTTCATTCATAAATTCCGTTGCAGCCTTAGTCCTCACCGCCGTTCATTCGCCCAATTTGTTCCATTTCGCCTTTGGCTCCACATGCGCCGCCAACAAATCAAGTTTTAAGCGCCGTCTGCTAGATCTCAATAATAAAGATCGTGTTAGCAATGCCTCACAAAGACCGCGATAACGATCCTGAGGTCGAAAACGAGCAAACCTCATCGGAGAAGCTGCGTCACCGATCATCCAAAAGTGATAAAGATCCAAATCGAAAGCACAAATCAAGACCAAAGGCCACAGATCCTGACACGGGAGAGCCTGTCAAGTCATCTCATCGTCGAAAGAGGGATAAAACGAAAGACGAGAAAAGTGAAGGCATGTCGGAGGTGACAACGACTACCATGGCGGATGTTGTTCCTGAGCTCTCGAGGACTTCCTCTACGCCAGGCACATCATCCTACCCAACTTTCAATAAAAATTACAGTAAAGAGGCTGTAAATAGCTATGTGTCAGAGAGACCTGCAAAATCGAAGACTGGACCTTATACGCCAGAAGCAACAGATATCGATTCTGAGAAGAATAAATCCAGATCTGCAGAGAACTTAAGACGAGCAGCTTCTGCAAAAGGCAGACCACCCAGTCCACCAGATACTGAATTTACACACCGACAGAAATCTACATCTTCAAGAATGAGCAAGGTCAGGGAGGAGGGTTCTGAAATGTCCTCAAGACCCAGTTCCCGAAGCTCGGAACATCGGAAGTCGTCAAGAAAGGAGAAAGAAGACCGGTCCTCCACATCTTCAAAATCTAGGCCATCAAAAACTGGTACACCACCCATACGGACTTCAAGTTCCCGGACCTCAAAGTCTGAAAGGTATGACGAGGACGATGACTCCAATGTCACATCCGTGGCAGGTAAAAGACAGTCACAACCTACATCTCGCCGAAGGCCTACCAATATCGATACGGATTCCTCCCCGGCTTCGGCACAGGATTCTTCGCCAAAAACTCCCACTCAGACTCCTCAGTTTCCTCCTCCAGGAGCGGCTGATATAAAATCTACTCCATCTCCTTATATGCATTTTGATGCATCCTCTGTTAAATCTAGTGTGTATGGCTCTCCACGTCCTCCTCCACCACCCCCTCCCCCAAATTTACCATTAAACATCCCTAGCGTTGATTACCTCCTCCAAAATGGCGGATTGGTCCGCCCGGTTCCCAAGACGTTACTTTCTACCTCCTCCCAATCGCTCAATTCATCAAGGTCCTCTCCTCCCGCGGAAATTCAAAAGATATTCGGACCATACTTCAACATCCTGGACCAATACGAAACAGTCATCAATAAGAGTGGATCACTCGCAGTTGCTACTGGATATCGCTCCGTTGCAAGGAGATTGCTCGACCGCTTGGAAAATATTTTTGCTAGAGATTTATCATCTGATGGTTGCTTGTGTGTTATGTGCCAGGATTTAGATCTTGATTCTCACGAGGGAAGTAGGGGTCTCTCGTGGGGAGAGGTTTTGGAATGGGTTAGTGGTCGACGTGATCTTCCCGAATGGCCTGCCTTTGATTTCTCAGCACTCGGTGCAAAATCAGTCGATGATTTAGCTGGTCTTGGTATATCAGGTCATCACAGACCTGGATCACCTATTAAGATCGATCCTGATGTAGCGGACGAATTTCGGGAACATTATCTACGACAATCCATAAAAACAAAAGCATCGGTGGACAAGTGGCTATCGAGTTGCCCCGAAACAACATCTGCACCTCCTCAAGAGGTTGATGATGAAACTCTTTCATTTGCTATACTAACTCATCTCAACCACCATGACCGACCTCTCTTCAACGCTTTGCTTAGTGGCTCCACTACATTACAACCCGTTTCACGAGCACCTACTCCATTACGAAAACCACGCTCGGATTTCATGATTAAAACAGTACAATCTATGCAACGACTGTATCGATTGCCACTTCCTCCACGAGATCCAGAAGTCGCCATATATCTACTAAAGAATCCTCATATTCACAATCTTCTCGCAACAATTTCTGGCATTGCACCATCAGAATGGGAGATTTTGATATCCGGCCGATTTGATGGATTCTTATGGTCTGGAGCTGATAACGAAGTCATTGATGAATTCCCTTCTCGCGGACCCACACCAAATGGTTACCGAGGACCATCACCAGTCATGAGAGGCCCTTCTCGTAATAACACACCATTTTCGCCTCGGTCAGCTAGTTATGGTTCTCGTGGTCCGACTCCATCTCAACAATACAGGCATCCAGTCTCTAACGATGAGGAGGCTGAAATTGCTGTCTTGGCTGAAATAGAGCGTGAAATATATGTAGGAATGGAGGCACTTGAGGATGCATTCGAAGGTTTACATCGAAAGGCTGAGGCTGTTCGTAAAGCTCTTCGCGAACGTGGTGTCGGATTGACTATGGCAGCAGAGTCAAGACGAACAAGTCGTCCAGAAATCATTGTTGGTACTCCTGGTCCTTACTCGGCAGGTTTGGGACCAGGATACGAGAGACCAAGTTGGGCCGAAGGTGGCAGCGAGTTTATGAGTGAAGCTGATTGGGATGAAGATGAAATGCAAAGTGAATTGGCACCAGATGATTCTGCAAGTAACATCAGCAGTTCAAGACACAGACGACCAAAACGAAGAAATGAAAGAAGAACACCGGCATTGGTTGAAGAAGATGAAGATGAGGGTTGAAAATACAGGACATCTTTTCAATCATGAATGCAATATTATGGAAGATATGAAAATGATATGACAGTATGAGATTACGAGGAAACGCCTCCTACAGAGATGGATGAAATGAGATTACGATTTGTTTACGAAATGATATCCTACCTACTGCGAAAGTATAGTGCCAGCATGGAAAAAGTACGAAATAGGAATACGAGGGAAGTTTTTGGCAAGCTATGAAAGCAAGAGCAGTTCTCCATCTGGAAAGGATGTGAACTTTTTTGATGAGATATTTTGTGTTTTATATAAGCGGAGAGGTAGTTTGCAATGTGCAGGTTCCATTTGCATACCATGTGGGACTTGAGATTGAGATACGGTGATGTGAGGAGGTATAGAATAGCATAGCAATGATATCATAACATTCCCTCGCAATATTAACACGAAATGAATGCTTCGTTTTTCATTTGAGTAAAAAAAGATAAAAAAAAAGAGTGATTCCCATTCCCTGAGCTTATCTCCCCCATATCATACGAGTATCGTGTTGGTCGAATCCTCCCGCGCGTAATCATGCGATTCCAGCTAGGAGAATATTCCCACGGGTCTGTCCACGGGTTTGTTTGTGAGTTTGTGAGTTGGTGAGTTGTTGAAGAAACGCATAGATAGACTTGATTACCAGATGTAATGATAATGATAATGACAATGATAATGATAATGATAAAGGTTAATTTAATTTAATTTAATTTACTTTACTTTACTTTACTTTCTTACATACCTAGGTAGGTAGGTAGGTAGCTCGAGGGTAGGTAGGTAGGTAGGTAGGTAGGTAGGTAGGTATTTCGATAAAGTCTCGGAGGTGGAGTTATTGCATTGTTTGTTTGTTTGGTTGGTTGGTTGGTTGGTTGTTGGTTTGGTTTGGTTGGTTGTTTGGGGAGGATTTTTGGGGAGGATTCTTGGGGAGGATTTTTGGGGAGGATTCTTGGGGAGGATTTTCGATCGTCCCGCGAGCTCGCGAGCTCGCCTCCTTTTTTTGTATGTACTCTTGCTCCTGGATTGAGTTGAGGTTTGTGTTTATGTTTATGTTTGAGTTATGAGGGTGATGGGTTGGATGATAAGTTGGTTAGTTGGTTGGTTGGTTGGTTGATTAGTTGGTTGGTTGGTTGGTTGGTTGGTTGATGTATTTTGACGTACTTTGATTAGTTGACGTGTTTTGACGTATTTTGAAGGGTGGCTTGGCGCTTTGTGGTTTTTTTCTATCTTTCTTTCTTTCTTTCTAGGTATGGTGAGTGAGTGAGTGGGTGGACAGAAACTGGAATTGGAGCTGGAATTGACACGTGATGGAGGGGCGTGGGCGTGAGCATAATCGATCGATGAGTGACGGGTGACGACGGGTGGGCGAGGCGCTGAGGCTGTTTGGTTGTTTGGGTGGATGGGTGGATGGATGGCTGTTTGGATGGATGGGGGTGCAGGGAGGAGGGAGGAGGGAGGAGAGTTGGTGTACGTAAATATTGAGTGTTTATCTATCGTTTGGGGATTTGGGGATTTGGGATGGGAGGTCTTTTGTACGTGATTTTGAGGAGAGGAGAGGGGTAGGTGTCTTGCTGTTGATATGGATTTGGGTATGGATATGGATTTGGGTGTGGATATGGATTTGGATGTGGATATGGATGTGGTTGTGGATATGGATTTGGGTGTGGATATGGATGTGGTTGTGGATATAGTTATGGTTATGGCTATGACTATAATAGCTTGTAGGGATTTGCTAGTCCTGGGGTTTATTTGGTTGTTTGGTTGTTTGGTTGTTTGGTTGTTTGGTTGTTTGAGGCTGGAGATTTGGGGCTGGATGGGGATAGATGGATAGATGGATAGATGAAGAGAGGGAGTGCAGGAATACAGAAGATCATCAATCGATCGAGAAAATCTACAGGAAGGGAAGTAGTTGGATGTTGGTTACAGCGCGGCCGAAGATTAGATTTGTGTGGGAAGTTTCCTTATATTTTGCGAGGTTCTGAGTTTCTTTTCTGGTCTTTTTTTTTTCTGATGGGATATTTTTATTTGAGTTTACGTTTTGGTTTTCGCATTTCGTGTTTAGCTGTTTGTTGCTGCTTCTTGTTATTCTTCTTCTTCTTCTTCTTCTTCTTCTTCTTCTTCTTCTTCTTCTTCTTCTTCTTCTTCTTCTTCTTCTTCTTCTTCTTCTTCTTCTTCTTCTTCTTCTTCTTCTTCTTCTTGCTGTGGTTTCGGACTTGGAAGTTGGAAGTTTGAATTTCGTTGTGTGGCATGCATGTAGAGGTTTGAGTCGAACTTCTAATTCCTATTACGCACGCGGATCGATCATTGCATTCGAAATATCTCCTCTCATGCGTGCGGATTGTCATTCCTGCTCATAAGCTTTCGTTCCATTCCTCGGGTATTAGTCTCTTTCCGGAGCGTTTTCAAAGACGTCAAGCAGAACGCTTTCTTATCAACTGGAATGCGGATATAGTGGTGAATGAGAATCGTAGAGTTGCTTGATATCATATCTCATACTTCGTTCATTCAGATCTCTTCTCTTTACATTCGTATCTCTATCTCGATTTCAGATTTGTCGGACATAGATAGATGAATAGTGTGGTTGGAAGATTTTGGAGATATACATATACTCGCTACTCGAGTTTCTTTTTGATACTTAGCCTACGTCTTTATCTCAGATTCTCAGTCTCGTTTTCAAGAGATTTTTCAATATGGCTTTACGAGTTGCACAAGGTATGTACTCAATCTCCAACCTCCACAACCCCAAACACAATTTCTAGCCCCCAACATCCTCTTCACAAAATAATCCGTCTAACCTCCGCCCTCCCCAGTCTGTGGCATCTGGTTCTGGCTGGCCTTCGCCTTCTTCCTCTTCGTCATCTTCCACCAATCCAACCTCGTGCTCCCCAACCCCAACCTAGACTCTCCCTCCCAATTCCCCTCATCCATCTCCCCCAAACCCCTCACCATCCAACAACGCATCTCGCGCTCCGAATCCGCCTGGCGCACCTCCGTCTCGCTCCGCCACGAAATGGCCTCCCACCACCCCAAATACCCACACATCCCTCTCTTCCCCGCTCAAAAACTCTCCGACTTTTCCAAAACCCCTTACACCCTCTGGGACTTCTTCCCCGCAACCTGGACCTGTCCGCACGATATCCAGCGCGTAGGCCGTCTCGGGGACGGTGGAAAATGGGTTTGCGGCATGAGTCTCTATGAAAAACACCGCCCTTCTTCATCTTCTTCCGCATCCACCATCTCCTCCTCCTCCCAAACCACAAACCCAGACGAAAGCGGCATAACCATCTACAGCTTCGGCGTCAACGACGAATCCACCTTCGAAGCCGAGATGCTCTCTCGCATCCCCAGCGCCCAAATCCACGCCTACGATTTCTCCGTTTCGAAATTCGGGCCCCAGCTCTCCTCCTCCTTCGCCTCGCGCGCACACTTCCACAAATACGGGTTGGGAGCGAAAGATATCCCCTCGCGCACGCCTCCCTTCTACACGCTACACACGCTCATGAAACAGAATAATCATTCGTACATCGACATACTGAAGATTGATATCGAAGGGTCCGAGTACACCGCGCTGGATGCGTTTATGGATTTTCATGATGAGGGGGGGAGTGGGGATGGGAAGTTACCCATCGGACAGGTCATGATCGAGTTGCATTTGGTGGATGATGAACATGTGCATTTTGAACGCTTTACGAAGTGGTGGGAGCGATTGGAGAAATTCGGTATGAGACCTACGTGGTTCGAGACGAATTTGTTGGCGGTGACGCTGGGTGAGGGGAAGACGGATCCCAGGTGTGTGGAGTATGTGTGGGTTAATGTGAAAGATGAGAGGAGTGTTTTGTTAGGGGAGTAAAAGCTTGGATTTGGGGGTGTAAGAATGTCCTAGAGATATATATTTTCTTTTTTTTACCTTCTGTGGGTATCTGACCCTGGTTTGGGATTTGGAAGAGGCGACTGGATTGGGACTTTTGGTATATATGGGTATGGATGAGTCTGGCTGACTGATCAAGACAGCAAGAGGTATGCTTGTAAATGAGATGTATATTATGATATAGAATCTATCTATTTGTAATAGATCTGCTAAAATGCGTGCCTTGACAACATTAAAGAGTTTCCAAGCCATGATATGTCATCCAAAAATATAAATAGTATATGGAAAACTAAATCCAGGGATCTTATATGTATATGACACAAACGCAATGGAAGCAACCCCAAAAGTGTTAATTAATACGATATATATATCTCACAATCAACAAACCACCTACCTAACACTTTACAACGATTTCTTCCCCTCACCACCCCTCTCCCTCCTCCTAATCAACCCCTCCAATCTCCTCAACCCAAACATTCCCGGAAGCACCAAATCGAAAAACCAACTGCCAATCCAATTTCTCGCAAACCAAACAATCCACGTTTTATTTCCCCTCCAAAGCGTTCTCTGTCCCCCATTCACAACCGCATCTACCACACCCTTTGCATACTCCATATTGGGCATCGCGTTTCCACTCTGACTATGCTTTACTCGAGTCTGGAATTCATCTTCGATTTCGAGGTAGAGCGACGAAGGGGGGAGTGTGCGGGGTGTACGCGCGATGTTGGATTGTACGCCACCTGTTACAATGACCATTACGCGCACAGAATAGGGCGCGAGTTCGAGACGGAGGGTGCGGGAATAAGCGTGCAGGGCGGCTTTGGAGGCGTTGTAGACGCTGCCGAAGACGTAGGGGAGGATCTGGTGGTGGGGTGTTAGGATGTTGTTTGAAGCGAAGTGATGCTTCAGACGGGATGGGATGAGAGTATGGGATGAACTTACAGCTGCTAAACTTCCAATATTGACAATGAGTCCCTTTCGTTTAATCAATAGAGGTACAAAAGCCTGGCACATAGCCATGACTCCAAAAACATTCGTCTCAAAACAATGGCGCGCATCGTCCAAATCTACATCCAAAGCAGGTAGCGTACAATTTCTTCCCCTAAACTCTATACATTAGCAGCGCATCCCCAATCGCATCTCTCACCATGAAACCCTCCACAATCTCTCCCAGAAATATGTTCCTCACTCACGCATTATTAACCAGCACATCCAATCCCCCAATCTCCCCATTCTCAACCCATCCCTCGATTTCCCTCTTGGCTTCCTCAATACTCTTCACGTCCGTAACATCGAGACTCAAAGTTCTCATACCCAATTCCGCCAAATCTGTTATTTTATTCGCCGAGCGAGCGCTGGCAATAACGAGATAGCCGCGAGCATGAAAATCGAGGGCGAGGGAATGTCCGATTCCGCCTGCAGTGCAACTGCGGGTTTGTTAGTTTAGATATATGGTGTGAAGGGGAAATGGAAGCTGTACCCTGTGATTAGGACTGTTTTCTGGGTGGCCATGATGAGGTAAGTTGTGTTAGTATAGCAGGTATATTGAAGAAGCAGTCGCAGTTACGAGTGCACACTGACGGCTAAATGCTAAATGCGAAAATGGGAAGGAAGGAATGTGAAGCTAGAGACTGCTCTAGGAAGGGAAAAGCGAGAAGGGTCTCAGGACGCAAGGAAAGATGTCTTCCAGAACAGAAGAGAAACGAAAACATTATACCACCTTGAGCCAAGATGAAATCATACTGTGAAGCTTGGACTTATCAATTCCGTTGGAGTTTATTTATCTTGAAGCTTGAGAGTTGTGGTTTGTTGTTGATAAGAAAGATGGGGGATTCACGCTTGGCATAGCTTGATAGTTGTGCAAGGTTAGGTACCACCAACTGTAGGTTACATGGAAAACCGAGACGCCAAACAGAAGATGAAAACACGCATTTTTCAAATACTTCTTAATGATATCAATATCCAACCAAATGTCGATGATATATAAAAATGATATGTAAAAGCTTTATATGTATACATTCAGCTTTCAATTCAAAATAGTGATCATTCCATTTGATATCAAATATTGAAAAGACAGAGTATTTTGGGTGTCCCAGTGTCTCCAACTTGCTGCAAAATATTTTTTGTCCTTCCTATAACACCTGAGTGTTGTGATTCTGATAACTCAACGTGTCAATGGAATATTTGATCATTATAAATGTCCATTATATGGCCTCTAAATACATAAATTGTAATGCCAATATGTCGCTCATAAACCGAGGCCCAAAACGCTCTCGATATGCAGTTGCCATGATATCTATACAACGCCAATAACCATGCAATTCAAACCCCAGACCTGGATGCATCCACCATAAACAAACTAAAAAAGGGTATTTTTCTTCCTAGGACTTTCATCCTCCTTAAGCAAACATTTGCTTTCGAGCCACCTCGCAAATTTCGTAGACGGGACATCAACTGCCCTCCAAAATACATCTGCTGTCCATAATATAATTGGTCCATAAACTAGCAATCCGGCCCCCCAAAAAGCATGTCTACCTATAAAAGAATTCTTTCCAATCGTATTTTCGAACAGAGGTCCAAAACGAGGTTCGAGGATGGTGAGGCAAAGATTGTGTGTCAAATATAGGGCATATGATATATTGCCTAGATATTGAGGAATCGGTAGATTGAAAAGAGATTGTAAGCTAGTAAGTTGTGTGCATGCAAGTACGATTTGAAAGGCTGCCAGACAGAACCAAACTCTCTGTCCACTATATGGTTCCGGAGTATGCGCATTGAGGGTTGAGAGGAACGGAATTTCGTCAACATGCTCGTTTGTCCAAGAGGAAATATAAAGACCACATATAACGTTAAAAATCCAGAATACCTTCATGCAAATGCTTTTATTGGTTGCCGTACTGATACTCGAAGTCTCGGATGCTGTATCAATGGATAATTTTCTAGTTTCATCGCCAAATTCGGTAGTAGGAAGGATAGGGGAGGATTCGGCAGAGTTCGATGGCGTCGAATTATATGATTGGAGGAGTGTAACTTCGGCAATGAACATTCCGCCTAGAAATTCAACGGCGTGTAATTGTGCGCTCCAGAAACAGAAAGACATGATGCATGCTAGAATGAGAAGCCGCATATTTATACGAGCATGAGAAAGTCCAAGTATAACAATAAATAGAAGCATCGATTGCGCGAATTCCACAGGGATTGTCCAAAGTGCTGGATTGTAACGTGGCAGAGGCAATGAAGGGTCGTCCCACCTCCAGGATGATTGTAAAAGCTGCCAACAAGTTTCGTACCAATTCCCAATCTGGGCGCTGAGTGACCATAAGGGAAATCCGTATCGAGCTTCGGACAGCTCATAATATACAGCTATAGACATTATAAGAAGTGTTATGAAGGATGGCAAGAAGAGACGGACCGCGCGGCGGAAGACGGACGACGATAATGTAGATGCAAGTGCCGAGTATTGTTGAGAGTGTATTTGCTTAAGAGGTTTGTAGGTGAGGACGAATCCAGAAATGATGAAGAATATATGTACCATTGGTCTGGCAGAATATAGTACTCGAACAAATGGGAGTTGTATAGGTGATGACGGGGCACCATCTTCATAAAGTCCATATGGCTCAGTCCACCATCCAATATTCTCCTCAGTGTAATGCCCCATGAATACGATAAAAGAAGCCACTCCGCGGAGGCCATCGAGATATGAAGTGGGATGCAACTTTTGCGTCTTTGGCGAACTAGGTCGTATCGTTCTTCTCTGTAAGAAACTGGGTATACATCCATATGCGAGCTTTTGAAGTAGGCGTTTCCCTGAACTCAAGACGACCGTGTAGTCAGAATTCTTCTGCGAATCTGGTTCCATTATTGCCCATAGCATTTGGGGTTTATAGCCCTTGGCTACCATCATGAGGAACAGAGTTCAGTACCGACAATACCTGATTGTGCCGTACTGTTAAGAGTCGTGATAGTTTCTATGAATAGAAAGATGTTTGACTCTCTCACAAAGATCGAACGGTTCTGTGTGCAGTCTAGTATTTCTGCAATGCCATGTAAATATGTTAAAGAAACTCAGCGGGGATATCTAATCAAAATCAAAGATCTCGCAATGAAAGTAAGAGAGATTTGGGTAAGGGAAAGACATGAAGGAAATATTCACTCGGCAAGAGCATCTACTCATTCCTCAAACCATACAGCCCTCAAGCATTTGACTCGGTCCACAGTCATGAACAGAGAACAAGCCTCTTTCGGATGGATCGACTAATTTGCGGGGGCGTCGCTGGTGAATTTAAAGTTATATTTTTACTCTCAAGCTCCGATTTGTCTTGAATTGAGGCCCCGACTTTTACCCCTTTGGCTTTAGTTTCATGGTATGACATTTCCTACTCGTTGCCATTCACTGTTTGCAACAAGAGTGATGCTTGAAGTGATTTGCTTGTTGATCCTGAATGGGATGATATTTCCGTACCCGACATAGCACGTCGATCAGTCACGCTTGTGGTTTGTCGATGAAACGATCATTTTGTTTCGACTTTATTTCCCAGGAAATATCCTCAAGTAAATGCTTGATCGGTTCAATCCTTGTGTTGCATTTTTCATCTCTAACAAGTCTGCAGAGCCAATGCTACAGTTTCTGCTTGAGACGCATCATGCAACTTTGAAATCCTCCTCCTGTTACGTTGAAGAGCGCGGCTCGAGTAGGTGCTGCAACTTGCCAGTAGTTGCAACTTGGAGTAAAAAGTGGCAAGATACGGTGGGATATCTCCACCAATAGAACCATCAAGGGCATCTGTAAATTGAGCTGCTACTGGTGATTAGACGGTTCAGCTGAGCGGGTGGTGGAAGCGGGAATGCTCTCCGACCAAAAAGTGTCTAAGTCAGGAGAACCTTGTTTGATGGATGGATCATAGCCCATGGGAATTCCATGATGGAATGAATTGGTGGAGCACGGGAAAGACCCTGACTAAAGTTGGAGGTTTCAGACCACCATCTGGGATTCTTGGGTTCTAGAACCAGTCGAGTTGATAAAAGATTGGATATATAATATAAATAAATTCCATGGTTGGATTCTTCTAATATCAAACTGTAGAGGTAGAGGATAGGATCCAAGAGGAACTGGAAGGAAGGAGAGACATCAAGTTTCCCATCGTCAGTGTCGCAGACTCGCAGTGTCACTTCTGAGATCTATGATGTGGTTGAACATTGAAGAAAGTGATCTAGGTTTTATTTGTTTAACATAGACATGGCGGCGTGAGTTGTGATTTGTCAAGTATTATATCAATCCTTTTTTGGGGTTACTGATCATCTACCAAAGCTTCACTACCGGCTTGGCATCTTTATCCAGTTGTATCTACGATATCGTTATCGAGAACTCAACTCTGTTCTGTACAAGACAAGGTAAAGATCTTGCAGGACCTTCAATTTTCATACTTATTATAGTAACCTTATACTCGTATTCACATTGCTCACATTGCTCAACTTACTCAACTTACTCAACTTACTCAACTTACTCAACTTACTCAACTTACTCAACTTACTCAACTTTACTCAACTTACTCAACTTCTTGTCTACCGGTATCCAAATGATTACAGTAAAACCTCTCCATAAGGATCCCTTCTATAAGGATAATCTCTCTATAAGAATATATTTTTCAATCCCAAAAATTTTCAGGATTAAAAATAACCTATATCCTTAAAACCCCTCTATTAGGATATTCTTATATTTTTTGATTCCAAAATTACATATATATTTTTATTAGATTAATTGAATTAACAGAATTAGTTATTATATTAAAATTTCTAAAAAATTTAATTGAAATTTTAAAAAATATCACGAAAATGGCCCGATCGGAATTAAACAGAAATAAATTAATATTATATCGAAATTAGTTAGAATCTTTATACAAGGATACCTCTTTATATCCTTAAAAAAAACTATAAAGATCAGTATCCTTATGAAGAGGTTTTACTCTACATCCATCCGATCATTCTTTACCCAAATCAATCAATGTTTACAACAAAGTATAAATGATGTTTATCATTATCAGCCTCGTAAACAGATGACGAACCCCCTAATATATTTCCATCCACAATCCACAAATCCCTGGCAAGGTGTGGTCATACTTCGACAATGCAATTAATTTGATAATGAATATCATCATCACCTCGAAATTTCATCCTGCGGAGTGGATTGGAGATGTACACAATCCGGCTGGCTCAACGTGCTTCTGCTTGCAAGTCTTCAGTCTGCCTGACCCGAAACATCACAGTCGCACCCTACAATCCGTGCCGTCGACTCTGCAGACCACGTCGAACATATGGCGTACAATTGATTCGGCTTGAGTGTCCCACGTTTGCGCTACGAGAATTTCATAGCTCTTCTTGTCAAATGTCAAGCTATTGCTGAGCCAGCTGAGGTAGTTTGGCAACGACCGGTCTCAGTCTCATATTGAGATTTTCACTAGGGGCTTTGATGCCAAATGTGCCATCATCGTGCCAACTAGAGTCTGGGTTGCTTTAATGAACGATCAAAGCTGAGGAAGCTTGCACGTGATGTATACAATGTATCAAACGAGGGTCGGTGCGAAGAGTGATATTGGGTGTGTTTCCCTATTCTTCATTAGTTGTGTCTGGGCTAATGAGATGAGCGAACAGAGAGTGTATCGATTCACCAGTTGATTCGTACATATAATTATCTCCAGCGTTCGTTCAACGGGTAAGAATACTCATACAAACAACATAAAAGACGAAAATGGTGGTATGGTGGACAAAGTTACACCGCTGAATGTGACGGAGAAAATGAGATATGGCGCAGATACATATCGAAAAGGATTTCTTCCATCATCTACCTCCATCTTAGGAGAAAATCAGCAAGGAGCCAATGACGCACATAATCGGGCTCTTCTGCGGATCAGAATCTACATATAATATCATGATAAGAAGGCGTGGAGGAAGCACAATTTATGATTGTACGATGATATATTCTAGTACGCCTCACAGTTGATGCACATGCACTCCCGCTGGAATCATCTATAATATCCAGCCTTTTCCCTGACGGGTTTCTCACTCAGTGATTGGGCCGCCTAAACTCATGCCCAGGTCGTTGAAGTGTCTATCTTATCAATCTTGCTCGTGCAAGAAGAAAATTGGACATCCAAATTCGAGCGAATTGAGAGACTGCCGTATTGCAAGTATGAATCGTCTTCAGACTCATGTGAAGGATGTAAAAACGGGGGAGGGGGGTGGGAAAGATTCCCGTTCACCGACTTGCGCTCTTTAGCTCTTTCACGCGCCTTCTACGGTACAGCTGGCTTGTTGGGGCGATGTCCACCATAAATCAACTCTAGGCACGTTGCAGCTTATTGGCAACAACTAATCGCCAGATATCGGCCTCTGATCTCCTAATTTTTGTCTCCTTCTTTCTTGTTTTCTAAGCAAGATTCCCGGCACTCTGTTGATGCTTACCCTGATAATTATGTAAAACCTGGATCAGCAAAGCAGGCGCCCTCCACTTTCCAAACCTACGGGAATCGATACTCCTGCTTCTTTGAGTGTAGCGAACCTCGCTTCTATTTTCTGTTTCACTGTGCGGAAACAACTGCCTGCGATTGACATTATTATTCTCCTCCCACTAAATATTTCAGTCGGGGAGACTGCGTTACGTAGGCTACCAAAGGCTCGAGCAATAGCCTAATTGCTAGAGCCAAGCTCGGTGTGATTCTACACAGAACATGGTTGGCTATGAAAGTGCCTCTGTAAATACGACTACGATGAGCAGGCAAGTCTCATACTTGCTTGCGACTGCCTTTGCGCTGAAATCTAACGAAGGGGGCACTCAAACGCGAAAGTCAATTGCGATTTCTACATATTTTTTGTAGATAAGCTTTGCTCTTGCAACCCGACATTTGACTGGCAAGTCTTGCAAAATTCACGGTGGTGGCAAAACATAGGATCATATGATGAGAATTCGAAAGCTAGAAATGCTCTGTTATCCAAGGTAAATTATTTATCATTATCTAGCAAATTGCAAAACGCCTTGAATTCTGGCCACACTACGTGTATTCACATGTCAATCTCACTCCTGAGCAGTCCCAGCTTTATCCCAACGTTAACCGATAAATCTTTAATGCTAAGATCTGGAGCAAGCAAAATAGGAAACGGGACTTCATAACCGAATTCTTTGAAAAGCCAATTTCTAAACTCGGCTCCAATCATACTATCCAAGCCAAACGACGCCACAGACGTCCCTTCCAAAGGCATATCTTCGATAGAGATGGCGAGTATATTTGATAACTTCTTCGCGACCTGGGCTGATATGATGTTGATAACATGCTCAGGTCCTGCAGTAATGGCGGCTTGTATTTGCTCAATCGTATTGCCGGATGAGGACTTTGTCCCGCTATTGCCTCCTGACCCCGCAACTTCACGAATTTCGGCACGAAGATGTCGAAACCTTGGGTTTTCAAACCAAAAAACATCAGTTGTATGGATCGAAGATAATGCACTTGCAACAGTCGAAGGGTCAAGGCCCAATACAATTTGTGAATCTTGAAGAATTGCGTTGCCTGCCGATGGCTGGTCCTTTATCGCTGTTTCAAATCCGCAGATCATTTCGTCTTCATTGATTCCGAAAATTCCTCTTCGACTTAGTAATACTTCAATCTCTTGGTGTTCACTAACATAACCCACATCAAGAATCGCTGGAAGCACGACTGATACAGCGGGAAGACCTTGCACATTTCGGCCCCACGCAAGAGAGTCCAAGTAGCAATTCCCAGCGCTATAGTTGCTCTGCCCAGGATTTCCAAGTGTAGCGGATATCGAACTCAGCATGAGAAAAAAGTCGAGACAGTGGCCAATGAGACCTCTATGGAGATTTTCTGCCACCTTTACCTTGGGATCTATGGTACCTTTAAATTGATCGTAGCTCATTTTCTCAAAAAGCGAGTCCTGTAATTTTAGTCAACTATTGATTCATCACAGAATGTGAGGGTCCCTACATTCAAAACCATAGCTGCATGCACAACCCCACGGATAGGACGTTCAGAGCTCTCCTGGGCAATTACACTCGAAAGGTCCTTTTCATTTGCAGCGTCTGCTCGATAGACGTTAACCGAAGCGCCTTCTTTCCTCAAAGATTTGACTAGTTGCGCTGCCTCCAACTTGTCAAGCCCAGAACGAGAAACAAAAGCGAAGTGCCTGGCGCCTCTTCTCATCATCCAAATCGTTAGACTACGGCCAAGCCCGCCAAGGCACCCAACCAAGATGTAGCTTGCACTCGAGTTGAATCTGAGTTTAGTTGAGTTTTGTACCTATAGCCGCAGTTAGATCTACTATTGATATCACACGAGATTTTAGCATACCTCGATGAAATCTTCCCCGTATCCGTACGTGATGGTAGCCTCTTCAATGCTTGTTAAGTTCGTGGAAGCCATTCCTGCATTTGAGAGTTCCTGAATGCTATATTTCTTGGTTCGCTGATGGAGAATATCACTGTGGTTCTTCAAATGGTCAATGGCTCCAGTCAGGATAGATCCAATCGAAGTTTTATCCTGCTTGTACAGCATGTCAATACTTGTAGACAGGAATGTCGCACCTCTGGTAAATGGTAAAGCGTCAGGCGGTTCCAAAATGGTGCCGTTAGAAAGGACAAATATCGTTCCCGGTGGAACGTGGCGCCATATTTCCTGACTTAGTGAAGAGAATTCATGCGATATGATAGAGGCTAACCGCTTCTTGCTAATCAGCCTCTTGAGGGCCAAAGGTACATCCGTTGTTGAACTTCTGATCAATTCAGCTTCCGAAATTCCTAATTCGAGACATTTTTTTTCATCTTCTACGCTTCCAACAATTAGAGTGTAAGTGTAGCCGATAGCTTTACTGATACTGGTAAAAGCCTTGACAAAGCTAGCTGGTGCCGGGAGTAACAATATATGATGGTCTTTCTTTGCTTGGGCTGAGTTGACGACGGCATTCCAAACATGGCACAAACTAGGCAAGATAGCTACGATGTCATCCGCGCACATGTTGACAGGTTGAGTATCAAGGTAACTTACGCGCACTAAAGTTGAGAACGCTTTGTGGGTATAGGTCACGATATTTTGGCCTAAAAGCGAGTTGTTGAGGCCCTTTCCGGTAGCGACGATTTTCCCTGCAATTAGTCGTGCCCTTTGACTCTGGAATTGAACATCAGCTGAATTTACTTCTGAAGCAAATACTTGCATTTCGACTTCATTATCTGCTAGCTCATCCTGTTCCGATAGGTTCTCTTCATTGAAGAACAGTTTTCCATCCACCACTGAGCCTTGGAGTGTTCTCCCGGTAGTCAACAACGTTCTTGTAGTTTCGAAGGATTTAGCCAAAATATTGTTCAGACGATAATGTGGAACTAAGCGGCTGATATGGATGCTTCCATTTTGGAGCCAGAATTCCGTCTCTTCATCTGCAGATCCGCTTTCTTTCTTAGGTATTGTCGAGACGATAGCGTTCATGATGCTAGTAGGGTGTTCTCCGAGGTCAACATCTAGAATCGTGATTTTCGTGCTGGCTCGCTCTGCCAGAATTGCCCGAATTAAACCTACAGCCAACGAGCCCCCGATAAGTTTCCCTTCATTGACTCCGGCTGTCAACCATAAAATTGGAATGCCTGAGCACAATAATTTCTTCAAGGATTCAAATGAACTTTTGTCCAATGACGAGAGGAAATTGCCGTCGATGTCATCAACAATTAGATTGCTATCTCCGATAACATCAAAGTTGCCAAGTTCTTTGCATTCGACGTGCCATTGGTGCTCAAGAAATTTCTCTGTTGTTTTCATCATTAAAGTTGATTGTCCTTTGAGTGAAAGTACAGTAGCTTTGTTTTTGTGCATGACTCCTCCATTCATGCGAAATTTCTGGTCTCCAGGACATGAAAGAATCACGGCACTGTCAAATGGACCGAATCGAAGGTTGCGGGATTCGTGATCGTGAACGCAAAGCGCCTTTTCCAAGGAAATGCCGAAGGGGATACTTGTGTGAAAAATGGCATACCCTTTGTCATTTCTGATCGATCTTGCCAGCAAAATTACATCGTTCGCTGCTTCGTCTGATAGTTCTTTGCTAACCACAACTAGATCTTGTGATGTTGGAATAGATGGAGTAGATCCCAGAAGAGTAACATTTGGTACAAATATAGAGGTTATTCTGTTATCGATTGAGGATAGTCTTTTTAACTCCCCGTCTTGATCCGGATCAATACTGCATATTGTACAGGATGCAGTTGAAGATAAAATTTCGAGCAAAGTCTTGACAAACAACACAGTGTATTGGCCAAGTAATAGGACACGTTCTAGTGGACTTTTGTGGTTTGCTAAATCGACGATTTTGGTAATTAATTCTAAGCCTGTGCCGGCAGTAGTGGTTATGGGCGTATCTTTGGAAGTGGGACGAAGATATTCAGGCACAAGATGGGCAATATCAGGTTTCCAGACGACTCCCATGTATGGTTTTGGTCTGACTTTTTCTATCTCGGCTTGTGGTGGTGCCGCAGCTTCGTAAGTAACTGTTCTGAGATCTCTTATGTCGAGGATGATTTCGCCAGACTTGCCTTTGAGCTGAGCACTATTGTTGGCATAACGACCGAAAGTTTCAGACCACGCAACAGCCTTCCCTCTCGATTCAATGTCGGTTTCGGGGAACCACAGGGAGATTTCTTCTATCTTGATAGGGACGCAACCAAACTGCATGCTTTTATAAAGCCCTTCGTTGAGAGAAATAATCATGAGCTGTAGACATGCATCAATAGAGGAGGGGTGTAAAATATATCTCGACTCTCCTGTCATTAACCCACTCTTAGTGGTCAAATCGACGTCGGCGGTAGCTTCCTTGATACCTTTCGCAGCAATAATATTATGCAGTCCCTGGAAACTTGGGCCATAGTTGAATCCTACTCTAGAGAAAGAGGAATACCATCTTTTACTTGATGTTGACTGTGTCATCTTGTTGTGAGATGTTGGTGGCTCATTGAAAGAGGTGTCTGCTCTGGGTGTAGGATTGGCAGCAATCATGCCTTCCGAATGAGTTTGCCATCTACCCTCTGCGAAAGATTCAACCACGAAACCGTACCAGATAGCTTCTATTTCTTTGCTACTTTTAGTTACTGGCTGTAGACGTAGTTGTACCTCCAGTCCATCGTCTGTGTCTGGGATCACCATCGCAAGTTTGAAGGATGTATCCCGAAAACGTACCCCTTGATACCGTATGTTTAGCATTGTGGAGTCTAGGACTTGCCTGAGCGCTTCAACTGCCATTGACAAGTAGCCTGCAGCTGGAAATACAACAGATCCGCCAAGATTGTGATCAAAAAGCCATGGAATATCTTTGAGACGAAGCTTGTTTTGCCAGACCAGTCCTGATAACCCTACTATCCGACTTCCAAGCAAATCATGCCTAAGAAAACTCTTGCAACGTTGCGCTCTACTCATGCTTGGCTCAGCCCAATATGTTTTCTTGTAGTTCCATTGGTATGGAGGTAAATCAACGAGGAATTGAGGAGTTGAGCTGGCCGCATTTGCATTCCCAATACAATTAACAAGGTTTATATTGATTGATGCACCAAGTAAAAACAGCTCTCCTGCCAATTTCAAAAGTTGAATGGAATCATCGGTCTTTCGAACGAGTGTTGGAATGTAGTTGAAGCGCTCGATACCCAGATATTGTAGTATTTGCTTAAAGGGTCCAGAGAGAGCTGCATGCGGCCCAACCTCAATGGCACACGTGACTTTTTCTAGACCGGTAGTCTCGAGTACCGCACTTACTGCCTGTTCAAACTTGACTTTGCCCCTCAAATTTTCACACCAATACTTAATTGAGAGTGTGTCTTCGAGGATTTCTCGACCTGTCACCGATGAGATCATCCTTGCTCGAGGTAATCTCTTATTAGACGTATGATTTTCCAGCCTTGTAGTAGCCAAATTATATAGCTTCTCATATTCTGGGGCAACAGCATCCATATATGGTGAGTGGTATGCCTTTCCAGTGTCAAGCTCTCTAGCAAAGATTTTTTCGGCATCGAGTTGGTTCTTCACTTCTTGAATACCTGAAACGGAACCACTGAGGGTAGTGCTTCTCGATGAATTAATACAAGCGATGACAACATCACTAGTATCTTGGATATATTTATTGACATGCTCGGCTCCAAGTCCGACCGCCAGCATAGTACCACATACTGCACTGCGCTTGACAGTATATCCTCGATAGAACGCTGAAATTATCGCATCACCAGCTGAAATTAAACCCGCTGCATATGCTGCCGCGATTTCACCAGAGGAGTGTCCTACAGTGACGGTTGGCAGGATTCCCCATTTGGCCATAAGATTCACCAGAGCAATTTGGATACCGGTACATACAGGTTGCGATATTTCTGCATCGTTTAGACGACTAGTTTCTGCTGTATCCAACAAGACATCTTCTATTTTCCAACATGCTGGAGGATCTAGTCTCTGCAAAATGTCGTCTAGTGATCGAATTGTGTCGAGAAATGACGGGAAAGTTTTCATTGCCTGAGAAGCCATACGAGGCCATTGTGCACCTTGCCCGGTAAAGATAAACATGAATTGGGGTTCAATTGAAGGAGCTGCTCCCAATTTGAAGGAGCCTGATGAAAATTTGTCATCATGTTCCAAATCCGAAGTTATTGTGAAAGCTCTATGATTAAACTTAGATCTTGAATTCAGAGTATGTGCAAGATCTATAATGTAGAAATCATCAACAACTTTTGAATGTGCCTCTATGTTTCTCAAGAGGGTTGTTTTATCGTGGGCTGAGAACGGTACTAATATGGGTCTTGATGTTGACTTATCAACAGGGCTTTCCGTTTTCGCTACTCCGTGCTGGTAGGAAGGATATAAGGATTGGATGCCCTCAATAATTACGTGGCCATTAGTACCGCCGTAACCAAATGAGTTTACACTTGCTCGTCTGACTGAATGGTTATCGGGCCATGGTTTTGTCTCGGCGTGAACCTTGATATTCCACTCCTTCTCTTTGACTAGACTGGTCGTTAGATCGAGTATTGCAAATTTCTGAAATTCACTTACTTTCAGGGTTGATTTTTTGGAACCCGCAAACTCCTGGTATGATGCCAGCTTCCGTCATCATTGCGGCTTTCATAACTGAAAATACTCCACTTGCAGCCTCACTGTGACCTATATTCGGCTTGATCTACGCCTTTTAGTAGTCATTTAAGGCGAGGGGACGAAAAACTCACTGCTCCTACGAACAAAGGTGCATTCTTGCTTCTATTGTCATTCATGGCATTTGAAACAGCTTTTGCTTCAATTGGATCTCCTGTAGGGGTTCCTGTCCCGTGCATCTCAAGATATAAAGTTTGCGACGGGTCTAGGTTGGCTTTTTCGTATGCTGCTCGCATGACTCTCTCTTGGCCTTTGACACTTGGATAGGTTATTCCCATTCCCGGAACTTTTCCATTTCTATAGAATTATGTCAGCTTTGATTCTCATAAAATGAATCAAATTTACTTGCGTATTTACGGAAGAGGAACGAATAACCCCTCGGATAGGATCATTGTCTCGGATCGCGTCGGAAAGAAGCTTAAGATACAGCACTCCCACTCCCTCGGCACGCCCATATCCGTCTGCAGAAGCATCAAATGTGCGACAAGTTGAAGTTGGCGACAACACGCCCAGCTTGGCAGTGTTCATATGCTGATCTACTGTGAGAATAATATTTACTCCTCCAGCGAGAGCGGCAACGCAGTCTCGACTTCTTAACGCATGGCAAGCATTGTGAATTGCGTATATAGACGAAGAGCAGGCAGTGTTTATAGTGAAGCTAAAACATTAGAAAGTTCTTAAGTGCATAAGCTTGCGATAGGTAGCAAAACTCACCTAGGACCTTGAAGATTGAAAGTATTACCAACGCGGTTACTGATAAGACCCGGATCTACCCCAGTCGCCGAATAACTATGTCGAAAGTCTGTCTCTCTGAACGATATCTGTTGATAGTCGGCAGTAAAGCTACCAATAAACACGGCAGTGTTAGAGCCAGAGAGTTCCTCAAGGGTTAGACCAGCCGATTCAAAACACTCATAAGCAACTTCCAGTATTTTACGCTGCTGAGGATCCATCCACATGCTTTCTATGGGCGAAATTCCAAAGAAACTGGGATCAAAATCCTCTGCAGCACCGTCTAGAAAATAACCACCGAGGACATTGAAACTGCCTGGCCGCTCAAGGTTTTCGTGGTAGTAAGCATCAATGTCAAATCGACTCTTTGGAACCCTAGCTGCTTGTGCAGACCTTCTATGGACCAGCATGTCCCATAGTGATGAGGCTGAATCGACTTCGCCAGGAAGTCGGCATGCTATTGACTGTAAGTAGGTAATCTTTTGAGAAATTTTTGAAACTTACCCATTCCCACGATCGCAATTGGTTCCATGGCGGCAATTTCCGCGTCTTTACACTCAAGAGGCATACTGAAAATATTGATACGAACGATAAGTGTGACTAGAGTCTCACAACATGAGCTTCACAAGTAAGAAGGGGTAAAGCTTTAAGTTGGAAGGGAGATCAATTCAGCTCGGATCTAGTTTATCCGAGTCTGCTTGAAATTCAAGTAGACTTGAATTATGCTTATTTTCTTTTCTCATGTTATCTATTATCTTATTGAATTGATGCGCTGCATCTGACCGGCCCTTTTGATTGTTGCATTTCTACTAAGCAACTGAGGTAAGAACTTGTCCGAAACGATACGGTGTCAGTGACAAGGGTTGCAATATTTTGTAAAGGGGGGGAGGGGAATTGCAAGTAAAAATTGCCCGCCCATTAATAATATCCTGAAGTGGTAGATCCTCCAGAAAATAAGCAGACAGCAGAATTCATTGCGTGGTAAAGAGCGATGGGTTAGTATGAATAGGGTGCGTCCGAGAGGATTGCGCTCGCTCCCACCTATCCCCTTTGATTTAAAGTTATCATTTATTACTCGAGGACGATACTTGAGACTAAGACATGGATATAGAAAACTTCTAATCTAGAAGGTCGCAGTTGAGTAGTGTGGGAGTCAATAGAACAGATGAACGCTTAGAAGGGTCGCCATTCGCAGGCTCGGCAGGGTGGGAGATTTTTGAGTGGGGCGACAGGGAGAAAAATACTAGTGCATTACCCTCACCCCTAGATAATTATTTAATATTAGGCCAATATAATAAAAGATAATGTATTAGTTTACTAGTTTGTAATCCGTCTAAAATAATTAAGAAGCTAACTATTTTAATCAGTTCTGTCGTAAATTCCTCTCCTACTTTAAATTGAAAGATGCTTTATTTTTTATACTTTATAATATTCTCTATAAAAATGTTCACAGTGAAATCTATTTTAAGTTAAAACATTCGAGTTAGTTTAGATGAAATATTATTGTTTTCGAAAAGATTGAATTCTATTAAGTATTGATTTTATAAAGAGAATTTCTTTTTTATAAGAAAAGAGTAAGTTTTAATATATATAAAGGAGGAGAAATTTAATTAATTTATTATTATTTTTCCGCTATTGTTTTTCTTTTTGAGGGAGGGACTTTCTTTCTCATAGATTCTATATAACCGATATCCCTGTTACGTGCACGCCCCTACTATATGCACGTTTTCTTCAATCAAAATAAAAAGCAATTTAAAATTCAAAAATCATTAAAATAAGATAAAATCTAGTTCTAGAATTAAATAATATTATTGTTTTGATTCTTTAGAATTTCAAATTATTGGAATAAAAATCGATTGAGTAATAAAATAAAAGAAAAATATAATTTTAATATTCAAATTTTCAAGAAAGAATATATTAAAGTCTATTTATAGAGTTAGAAAATATTTTAATAGATTTTTTGATATTAATATTTTTATAGAGAAATCAAAAAAATCAAAAAAGTAATAAGAATTGGTTTTAATAAAGATTATTGGATTTTCTAATTGTTTTTATTATTTTGAATTTTTTTTAAAAATGAATTTTAAAACGAATTTAAATTTTATATTAAATATTAAAGTTTTGAATATTATAGTTTTTTTGAAATAAGTTATATTGAATATTAAAATATATAAATTTTAGATTAATTGAAAGGAATTCTTTAAATAAATCTTTTATTTTTCAAATTTTATTTTTAAAATTATTTAAATCTTGATTTTATAATATATAATAATATTCTAATTATAAAATTATTATTTTAATATAAAAATTTTTAAGAAAAAGGTTTTTGTAATTCAAAATATTATTAAATCAATTTTTAAAAAAGAAAATCTAAATAGAAAACATCTTAATATCAATAAATCCTAAAAATTCAGATATTCAAACTTTTTATTAAATCAAAAATCAATTGATATAACTTTTTTCTTTAATATTAAAATGAAATATATATAATTGAAGATTATAAAAATAAATTTTTTAATAACAATTAATAAAAGCTTATATTATAATTAATATTATATCAAATTAAATTCTTAGTATTTATTTTTAAATCTTTAATTAAATGTAATATTAATAAATTATAAGTTTTAATATGTTTATATAAATTTTGAAGATTACTATTATTATACAATTTAAAAGTAAAACTAAATATTATAGATTCATTATTTTATTAATAATTGATTCTTATAAACTTTTGTTTTAAAAACTATTAGAATTTAATATTGATATAATTTCAGAATTTCAAAGAAAAAGTTGAATTTTTTCAATCACTTTTTATTATAATATAAAAAATTTCATAGTTTCCTTAAATAAAACTTATATTTTTGATTCTATTATAAAATATATTAATAAATAAATAGTTTCTTATATAAAAATTTAATATCTTATTTATTAATATTATTATTATAAGCTTTCAGAATTTCAGATTTTTTATTTAAAAATATTAGATTAATTTATTCAAATTATCTTATTTCTGAATTTCAAATAATTTCATCGCTTTTTTAATTTTTGATTCAATTTAATATAATATTTTATATGAATAATAAGAGCGTGCACATAGTAGGGATATCGGTTAGAATTTAAAATCCTGTCTCTGTAAGTAATTCAAATTTTTCGTATTTCTTTACTTTGTTCTTCTGATAAATCTAAATTATTGACTCAACTTCTCTGACCACAAGTGAGGAGTAGGCCATATGCTTAGCAGAACCTTGTATTTATTGAATGTCAATGGGCTAGTAAACGGAGTGAGATTCTTTCTTGAGCGTGGTGAATGTTACCTCATAGAAGGCATTAATTTGTCTATAGGTTCCGTAGAGAAAGCAAGTTATGGCGTAGAACGCCTTCTATCCTGCGTAGAAATTCGTAGCAATATTAGTTGCAGTCATTTATGATGGCTCAGGATGGTACTAGTGCGGTCCACGTCTAACAGAATTCTAATTTTGTCTTCTACTAACTTGGATTCGTTGATTCTGCAACTCTTGCTAAAGCTTACGCCGCTTGAATGGTTGCAATTAATATAAAAGCCATTGGCTCTTGTTTTCTGTAGATTTCATCAGCTGTCTTTTACTGAAAATTGTCAGTAGCATTTTGGAAGTCTTTGGTAATCATGTTCCGCCAATTTATCGTCCTCTGCTCCTTGCCTATCCTACTGGCATGTAACGTTGACCACTCTCGTTACAAAAGGAACACCAACAGCAGTGGGAGCTATCCCGATTTTATCCTAGGTACCGACGGTCCTGCAGATGCCGCAACTCTTGGCTACACCATAAATCACCATGCTCTCATTGTCAGCAACCTTACCTCTACCCTTGAGTTCTACGGTGATGTCCTCGGCATGAGACACATTTTCACTTTCCAATTGAATGCGAACTGGTCTTTGATGTTCATGGGCCATGCGCAGGGTGGAAAAAATGGAACTGGATTCCAGGATGCAACTACACTGGAAATGGAGAGAGGAAATAGGGAAGGACTTTTAGAGTTTTTATCCTATGCTGTATGTTCTATTACACAATATGACCTACCAGGAACTAACTCAAATGATACAGGGCACTGCACCACCAACACAAACCAAGCCTCATTCTTCCTTTTCGCATCTTGGTCTCATCGTACCCGATATTCAAGCCGCACAAGCACGTATGGAAGCAAAAGGAGTGAAAATTGTGAAGAGAGTTGGAGACGCGGTAGATATCAACTCACCTATTCCTGCTGCGCTTGGATTTCCAAATGTGCAGGCTTTTGAGGAGGGCATACCGGGGCTTGAGGCTTTGGGTTTTTATGACTTCATGATAATTGCGGATCCAGATGGAAATTTGCTAGAGGTTATTCAGCAGTATTGAATTTGTGCGGAGGGGCAAAAATCTGAGATGAGAAGAAAAGTTTGAGTAGTTTTCGAGAATTTCGAGGATAGTTGTACTAGTATTTGTAGAAATGTGATTAGCAATTTTTTGGTGCTGAGATTCAATTACAACCCCATATTCCGTGAAAAAGTAGCCTCAGTCTGACTTCCGTATGAGGCTGACCAAATGATAGAATCACCGGACTTGCTTGCCATGGCTCACCAGTAGGTAAATAATTTTACTGGTTTTGATAAAGAAGGCGCTTTCTCTAAGAACACATTTGGTGCAGAGAAGCAATGCTACCACAGAAGCATCATGTTGATCTAAATCACCTGACTAAGATTTCCATGATAATGTCCAGTCTACTAGCAAAGTATTCACTGATATCCGATGTGCGGCACATTGTTTGAAAATGGTAATTCAGGTAAGTATGTATGGTTGTTCTAATAAGATCCACTAATCCGAAGGATTGTCTTTTAGTGCTCCCTACCAAGGAACCTTTGCCCCATCATAACCTACGAAGGTTCCTGAAGTTGTAGTCTTCGTTGCTGAATCAATCTATCTCAAAATCAGTACATGGGAGCCATTAATGTGCGTTTAGATCTCTTACCAGTGCCACAACAGCGCCAGAACTTTGTTCCACCGTCATTGGTGGTGCAGGAACACCAATACTATCCGCAAAATTTTGCCCATTCTTCGTTTGTACCCATCTAGAACGATCAGTTGTCTTCTTTCACTTCATTGATGCAACTAGATAACTTACCCAGGATGAACCGTTAAGACAACAATCTTCTCTTCCTCGCCATGTATCTTTTTTGCAGCGTAGTGTACTGCGGCCTTGGTAGCTCCATAGGCTGCAGTGGGTGCTCCGGTCATCATAGCCTCAATGCTCCCCAAGATACTTCCAATAATCACAAACTTTGCATTATCAGAAGCCTTGAGGAATGGAAGCAGATGTTGATAGAGAGCAATGGGTCCAAGTGTGTTGGAGTAGAAGTCCGTCACAAAAGCTCCAAGTGGCGTTTCAACAGTAGACTTGAAGCAGGTGCCACTTCCAGCGTTTGCAATGAGAACGTCAATTCTCTCAATACCCTGGGTCTTCAGGTTTTCAACCAATGCCTCATGCGCAATTCCAATGTCAGATACCGAGGTGGTAGAGATCTCAAGATTGGCAATGATTAAGTTACTGCCGTCGGCTTTTGGAAGCGCTTTGAGAGAGGAAACGTCGGTGGACCCACTGCGGACAGTCACTATCACTGTAGTATTGGCACGTTGAAGCAATGTTGAGACAATGCCAAAACCAATTCCTGGAATCAGTTAGAAGAGTGAGATGCTTGCATACACGGTATGATTCACTACTTACCTCGATTTGCGCCTGTGATGAGGTACGTGGTGTTTGAAGACATGGTTGATGAATGTAAAATATTACCTTTTGAACGGCTTTTCTTCAAAAACTGAAAGTCAATAAATTCTATGAAAGAAAGAGAGAGAGAGAGAGAAGCGGTATTAGAGGTCAAAGGATTGAGTCATTCTTTGGGGGGACGAGGAAGACACTCGTATACAGAGAGGCATGCAATGCGCCTATGCGCCCCTCACGCGCTTCAGCACGATGTAACAATGCATAAGATTCTCTTTAATCATCTGATGATGAGCTTGCATATATCGGCAACTAGGTATGTGCATAACTACATCCTTGCCGATCTCTGCTTGCTCTCGTTTCCGAATATTGTGACCCCTGTACAACGTCACAATGATTGGTAGCAGTGATGCTAAGTCGTCTAGATTGAGGTCAATCGCCTCGTGTATAGCATAATTTAATCTTACAAAAATCCTTCTGGTACAGCCTCCACCACTTATATAATAAGCTATTCCAACTTCCAACAGTGTGCTCGATCCAATTTTATGTGCTTCAGAGGCGCATGGCAGCAAACCAGCATATAATCCTTGTAGCACGCACCTAAACTTCAAAGGCCACCACTCATATAAAAATGCAACTCAAACTTCACCCTGAAATTCGTACATCCATCGGAGTTTGAAATTTTTGGAGATGCTTCCATGGGCTTTTCGAAAGTGTTAAGATTTTCCTTCAACGATCTAAATAGTTTGGCGATTTGAAGTGGCCCTGTCATTTCACGCCACTTCAATGTAACATTAGGATGGCTTGTTAACCGGCCATCATTCCCACCATATACAAGTGGTCGGTTAAAATCACACTCCCGAGACCGATTTCATCTCAACTTACATTTATGGGTGTTTAGCTCCTTCTTGCTGCGCATCCAGCAATGTAGATCGAGTGTAAGAATTGAGTAGAATGTTTTGAATGCTATGTAATACCCCATGTTAAGAGCTGTTGTGGGACTGCTCCTTGGGAGAGTGTAGTTCCTCGTCCCTGAATTTCTAAATTGAATTAGCCAACGAGTTTATTTTACCACCGTGATTCCCGCACTATTTCGCCTGGAATATCTCTCTAGTAACCTCCCTCCGGCCATCTCTATCTGGCGATCTTGACTTTTCATTCTCGTCTTTCTATTTTCTGTGAATCTCGTCCACACATCCGGCTGCTCAGGCTCCTGACAATGTCAGCAACGATCTCAACTCCGCTATACCCGGGCATCGATGTCGATGAAGATTTAGGCTCTCGTATCAACACCGTATGCGGGGCCATGATAGGACTGTCCTTTTTTACACTGTGTCTTCGTTTCTTTTCCAGATGGTGGACCAAAGTCGCCTTTGGAAAAGATGATTGTTTCATCGTTATTGGTGCCGTACGTATTCTGTTGTTCTACAATCAATTTGACCCTGACGAAACAACAGGTATTTGCGTGGGCCTTTTCAATATTTTGCATCGTCCAGGTTCAACAGAACTTTTACGGTCAGCATGTCGGAAAATCAGACATTCGACATATCAAGGATTTCATGAAAGCGCTTTACGTTTTAACAATCCTGTACCTCCCATCGATGACTCTAAGCAGGCTCTCTTTGCTTACTTTGTACTGGAGGATATTTGCAAATAGTAAAGGAAAATGGCCAATAATCATAGCAAGCGCTCTGAATATTCTGTGGATGATAATTGTGGTAAGTCTATGATATATATTTCAATTTGTCTTGTCTAGGCTAACCTAAAATATAGACAAGTCTCGCAATATTCAGCTGCAATCCAATTCATGGATTCTGGGACATTGATATCAAAAGCAAATGTCTTAGTCCTACCAATATATTTATTTCTACCGAAGCGTTTACAATTGGACTAGACCTCATTGTTCTACTAATGCCAGTATATTTTATAAAATCTATCAAGAGATCTTTGTCCCAAAGAATCTCAATCAGTAGCACATTTCTTGTCGGCATAATGTAAGTTCTTTACCCACCAAATCTCTCTTCCACGAAGCTAAAAGATGTTCAGTGTGACCGTAGTGTCTTGCGTGCGATTATGGAGGCTCGTTCGTGGTTTGGCTCTCCCTGGATTTGATCCCACATGTATGTTTTCTGTGGACTTTTCTGCAAGTGACTCTGAGATCTAATTTTATGTAGTCAACGAAGTAGATGCCGGTGTTTGGGGGTCTGTGGAGCTTAACGTCTGGGTTCTTGTCGCTTCAGTTCCAGCATTACGACCTCTCTTTACAAAGTTATTCACGAAGAAGCAAACTGGTACTTCTGGTGTTTCTCGAACTTATGTGAAAAGTGCCTCACGTGGAGTTAAAGCAAGGTTTGGACTGTCCAAGAGTAGCACGGCATTTTCTTTAAGTCATGAAGACCCGACTGACGATTTTGATACTCTCGTAAATCCCCAAAAGGGTGGAAATGGTGTAGCTTCTGCTATCAGTGCATATGAGCTGAGTAACATCAGAGATGCAAAGCACGGTACTATTCGAGTTGATCGGGAGGTAGATATCTCTGTACAGAATTAACTCCGCTAGCTGCCGTGATTAAGATAGGAGAGTTGGCAGAAGGCTGGGCAGAGCGGAATAGGGTCACTGGAAGCTAGGCCTGAGAGACCGCTGGCGCCAAAGTAGATATAAATGTACAATAGTTTCATTTTTCAAGAACAATTTCACTCTCTTTACAGCTACTACATTTCTTCGGATTCTCATAAGCCATGAACTGCGACCATTATACTCTATTTTTACAAGAAACTTCAACTCCAGAGGCATCGTCTTTTCTGACCTTACTAGTCGTTATGATTTCGATGACCGAGTCCCTGTTAGAGACACAAAACTAAATAACTGGAAACGTCATTAGCTTGTGACTATCCCCGAGAGTGCGGATATTCGGCGCCCTCGCTTAAAAGGGATCTTAGTGACCAATCAGAACATCAGGATATTTGGAATTTAATTACATATTTACATTCAATCTTTAATACAAAATCTTTTTAATATTATTTCTATTTCGAAACTTTGAAGAATAGAATTAATATTAATTTTTAATCTTTAGTCTTTTAATTCTTCTTAGAAAGCTATAATTTGAAATCAAGATTCCTTTTTATAAATAGAGTGATTAAAAGAGTATTATAAAAACTAATCTAATCAATCAGATTTCTTTATATAAGGTATATTATACGGACTATAATAAGCGCTATTTGCTCGCACTCTAGGAGATAGCGCCTTTTCAAGACAATTAGTAATAAATTCAACTTCTTAGTATAGATTAATTATCGAGTAATTGACGTAGCTCCCAATATATAAAACCTTCGAATTCTAGTCGATAAAAGCAATTGTATAATATTAAACATTATATTTAAAATACATATAATTAGTAACTTTATAATATATCGCTTAGTTTTGATATATTATTTCTACTCAAAATTTTAGTCTTAATAACTTTATAACCCATCCACCCATTACGACTCCCAAAAAAATCAATTATTCTCTAAGATATTGAAAATAAGTTCCGTCGATTAATAGAAACTTCTTAATTAATTAGATTATTATAACTTCTTAAATTTAATCTAATATTTATATTTATTCTTTAATATAAAATTCAATTAAGATTATTTCTATATTAAAGTTTCGAATATAATAATATATACTAATTTTCAATCTTTATACTATAAAGGAGTAGAAGGTAATAGGGTTATAGAGTAGTCCTTTATAAATGTTATCGAGAAGTTACTAAGATGTAGTACTTTGAGTAAAGAAAAGAAAGGAGAGGCTCTATATAGCGCTTTATAAAGTATATAAGAAATTGAGTAGGAACTAGTTGTTTTTTCTAAATTATATAAAGAAAACCTTTAAATACTAGCTACAAAAAAGAGGCTATATAACCTACGCTAAGTTTCGCTTACAATACTTTTTTTAAATTATAAAATTTAAAATTTAAGATCAAGATTCTTTATTATAAATAAATTAATTAAGAAATTATTAAAATAGATATTCTATTTTGTAAGGCTTTATATTAGGGTTGATTTACTTTACTACTAAGCTACAAAAGTATAGAGTTTTCCGAATACGTTCGAAATAGTAGATCTACTATATATACTCTATTAGGTAATCGCTCCCTAATACTTTATTATTCAAGATATATTATACGAATCACTTCTAGAGCTCATTTCTAACACCTTAGGAGATGGGGATTATTTAGCTGTATTTAAATATCAATCTTTTAAAAATCGAAATAATAATAATAATAATAAAGATATTCTCAGATTATAAGACAATGCGATTGCTTAATGTCATACGATTAGTATTGTCGATTAGGAAACAAAAATAAATCATTGATCAAAAAACAAGGAAACATAACAACCTGATCGTTTGATATGATTCCTGTGAAGCAACGGTGCTCTTCAGCGGATAATTTCAAATAAATAATCTGCAGCTCACAAACTAACTCGCACGCATGTGTTGCACATTTCATGAAGAGTAATCAATATTGCGTTGCTACATTCCTCATCCGAAAATTCTTACATGTTCTCATTCCACAATCGATATCTCAAAGCAGATAAAATTTACAAGCGAACTGACGTATGTAGAAAAAGCTCTGCTCGAATTGCTCACATGTAACATCTGCACGGAGAAACATGCAAGGTGGTCGAACCTTCGCTGAAGAGGTTTAAGGTACAGCGGTTAGATATTTCTAACAATTTCCATAATGCATGGGTGGGCGTTAAGTTCCATCGTCAACCAAAGTATCGAAATGTTCTTTAATTAATCAAGGATCATGAATTGCAATACATAGTCTTAAAATGCTTCAGATTTGTACTTCCTATTATATTCCTGGCATTTACAGGCCATACGAGCCTCCTGACAATCTGCAGGTTAACCGTTTTTAGTTTGTCGTAGCCTCGTAAATCGTTGGGCTAACATGTAACCCTTGATTATCGATAATTACGTGTGGCGTTCATTTATTGCCGAGCCTTAGCTGCATCTCGTGTTCTGCAGACGTCGTCGTCCTATCATTTGAATGCTGACGCCATTTCGACAACCACCTGGGTTATAATTCCAGTAGAATAACTGATGCCTTCCCTGTTCACATTTGGTTTCATTATCAACTTACATACTACCAATACTACATGCTGAACTCGAAAAGCGAGCCGCGTTACTTCAATAGATCTGTAAGATCGTACAACCCAGACAGTGGTCTAGCCAATCTGTTCCTGCAAGCATATCGCCCCCAGGTTATCAAATCAAGCATTATTTATTTTTGCGGGGAGAGATACGCGATTGATTAAACCACCTCACCTCGATTACGATTAGAGTGAAATGCTTGACATATAGAATCAAAAGCCTCATCATACGAACTATAAGGTCTAATTATCTATCTGAATCATATGATATTATTTGATTCAATACATTAATTTCGAGACTGTAACGATGCTACATTAAGGTTAATGTTTCCCCTCGTGTATCTCACTACATCAATTTCGAGACTGTGACGACGTTACACGGATATGTTTCCCCTCTTGTATCTCACTACATGTTTTCAATCAACATCGATCAATATCTAACTCTTATTGTTGATTTCTAGTGTTTTGGTTCGTAACGTCTTATTAGTAGGATTCAAACTTATTATCTACTAATTAATCTTATCATCATACTTACATTCGCGCAGATATCTCTACTAGTAAACACGAATACTCTACTCTATATAAGCGAAAAAACAGACGGAAATAATACTTTATAAGAACTATATGAACTGAGTATAGAATATACTTAAAATCTAGAACTAAAAAACTATAACCTGATAGCTCAATGAATGAAGATATATTTAAGTCTTTCTTCTTCATATTAGGAAAATATATATTTGATTAAAGATTATTATTTTATTATTTTACTAGTAGTTTAATTTTTCAAGATATAATCTTTTTGAAAAAGAATTTCTTCGAAAATCTTCTTATTTACTTCTTAATTTTTATATTCATATAAAGATTTATGTTTTATATATTAAATTTTCGAAAAATTACATAAAGAAGTTGAGAAAGTATATTATTATATAAAAACGAATTTTGTATATATTTTGAAGTGATATACTCGGTGTTAAACGACATTAGTAAGAAGAAGAAAAGGAAAAGTTCCAAGTCTTCAAGTCTCTAGTATTGATAGGGATCATATGGTTCAATTAGCGAGTCGGAAGTAAATTAATTATTTGTACGAATAAAAAAGTTGTCGTCAATTCAGACGTTCCCCGTGGGGTGGCCATTTGGATGCCGAGCCGCTTCACACTTTTTCGGCTTTAACGGCACTCAGTGGCGTTTAGTAATCTTCTCGTGTATTCACGAACAACCTAATTCTGTTGTCCGCGCCGCAGGTTGTGCACATATTCACCTTCCGCTACAACCTCGATGCTGACAAGCAGTTATCTGCGCCGCAGGTTGTGCATATATTCACCCTCCTCTACAACCTCGATGCTGACAAGCAGTTATCTGCGCCGCAGGTTGTGCATATATTCACCCTCCGCTACAACCTCGATGCTGACAAGGAGTTGCCTGCTGTCTAGATGTAGAGTGTTTATCATTGTTTCCACGGACGTTGGCTTAAGGCCTGGCGTATATGATAGGTGGATCTTGGTAGAAAGAAATGTCGAATCAGGGATCACTCCATATTAAAGTTACACGCTGACCCGATGTACTTATGCACGTTTTTAAAGATTCTTCGGGTGCTACTTCCGGTATGAACGACTCAACTTCCCCTGGATCAACATCCGATTTTGTAAGCGCACGTGTCACATACCTACTCAAACCACATGTTGGCTATCATCTCACCTCGGGTAAGTTTATAATCCTTGTCATGCTGTTGTAAGGCACAGACCGTGTAAAGGTGAATGGAAATGATACGTTGTGATAGGCTGGCCTAAATATGTGCGCCTCTAGCATGCAGGAATTGCACAGTATTCGCGATTTTAGCTACGAAATGGTGCAAGAGCCCTCTTCTTTCCCGTGACCTTTATTACTACTCTACTCAATTCAGATTAATCTATAAATTCTTAACCCCCAGAGAGCTTCAGGATCTCCAAAATTCAGGCAACGAATAGAATTCATCAATCACTTAAGCAAAATGTCAGCAGATATACAAGTCGTCGCCATCTTCCACCCAGCTTCGGGCAAGGAAAGCCGAGTCAGTACTCCATTTTCTCTGGCTACTTGCGCACACCTTTGTTCTAATGTTTTTTCATGCTGACATTATTCCGGCCAATAGCTCAAAGAAGTCCTCCTCGACCTCGCAAGTAAAGTCCACGAAAATGAGCAAGGTGTCGTAAGTTTCCCGTTTTTCTGTCTTTGCTGTACATGTGTTACTCATGTGCTACTCAATTCGAGTGGAGCTAATACTTCTAGAAAAAATACCAAGCATTCGAACAAATTGACTCTCAAACCGGAACTAATGTCATTCTTTTCCAAGAAACTTGTAATTATACCTTTCTGTTAACTCACATCCATCTTGAATCCGCTGAAATTCTTTACCCTGATCATATTCTACCCCCCTTCCCCCCGCCCCTCTTTGATTTCGCGTAGCCTTGGATCAATTCTTTTACTGTCTCTTCTAACAAGGTTACCTAGATGCGGACCAGGCCGCAGTCAATACCCACTTAACCTCTTCATACTTCGGTGCTGCAGGTGAAACCCTCAACAAGGAAGGATTGGTTACCAAACCTTTCGAGGTTATAGTGTTGAACCCAATAGGTGGATTTGCTTCGCGCGTTTAGAATCGAGCATGATATAGCTGCATTTGTGTCACTGACTTGGCCGATTCATGGGGATAGAATAGCAAGTCGGAGAGCAGCGTCGTAATTCCCAGATCCATTGTAGATGGTTTAGTACAATAACATGATATTACGTTCCATGGTTTCAGACTTCATTATATAGTCAGCTGCTTTACTACTGTGTTTGAAGCCCCTCTCATTGTGAAAGAAATCAATCTGTCTAATCAGCCAGATCAACATTACCAAGTCAAATATAGCCATTCATAACAATGGCCCCCATGATGTACCATCTCCAAACTAGCAACTGAGATTAGCTATTTTCGCCAACTCATAGCAAAGGGGCATTTTCAAGTTTGTTCACTGGGATACTCAAATAACAGAACATGCAATGTGACTTCATTTCTCGCTCTCTCTTAGCGTCAGCCTGCAAAGCTGTGTTGGAGCCCATGTTTGGTTTGCTCACTTTTTCATGTATCTGCGGGTGTATAGGAGCGCAAGTATTGGAACGCCGGATGATCTCGCCATACCTCTTCGAGTTTATGGGACAGTAAATTCGACAATGATTTCAATGACAGGATGTGGATATATTTGGGTTTAGTTTTCTACTCAGAATGGAAGGTAGAGTTGTGAGCCTTCGGCAGAATTTCTGTATTACTGCATGATGTGAGGATGACACGACGTATAATCCTAGTAAGAGGCGACTAGCAACGAAGGAAATTCCTAGGGTGGTTTCGTAATCCAGGCATCGTAGTCCTTGGACTTTTGCTCCTAACCAAGTACCCTGCGTTTAGGAGAGTTGTCAGGTGTATCAGAAGGCTCTAGGCCAGTCGCGGTGATTTGGACAGGGGATCTCGTCTCAGATATCGAAATCTAAAATTGAGTTTCTGATGAAGGGCATGAAGGTTACATGGCGCGATTTTCATATTATACCTGGTGACCTCGATCCGACCGAAGAGGGAATATGATAGAATTCTACTTGTTACTTTCTGCCAGACCCGCGTATCAATTACACTTGTCTGTGACCTCTAAATCCATACCAATTTTAAAGCAACAGCTTCAAACTCCAAAGAAAATGCAAAAAGATCGAAATAACATCACCGAACTCGTTCGATCAGCCTATGAATTCAATGTTGAGGATTCTCTTGACTTGTCTTGCTTGGATGGAAAAACCATTCTCATCACTGGAGGAGCTTCTGGATTTGGCGAAGGTTTCTTTAGGAAGTGGGCAGAGCATAGTATGCCAAGTTTGCCATACCCCCCCCCCCCCCCCTTTCCCCCCCAAGTAAACAATACTGTGCCTTTTCTAACGTTTTACAGACGCGAACGTGATAATTGGAGATGTGAACGCAATCAAAGGGAAAGCTTTGGTTGAAGAAGTCCGGGCACAGACCAACAACCAGAATCTACATTTTCTATACTGTGACGTCACCAAATGGCAATCACAAGTTGACTTTTTTCGAGACGCGGCAAAATTAAGTCCTCACGCAGGAATTGACGCCGTGGTTGCCAATGCGGGAATTGCCTCAGACAATCCTGTTTTCGACAACCCAGCTCATGATTTGGGGGCGCTCAGCGAGCCGCTTTCGATCGATCTCAAAGTTGTCGAGGTCAACTTAATAGGGGCAATGTATACTGCGCATCTTGCGTTCCACTATCTTCCTCTAAACCCATGCCCACCGCATACTTCACCCGGTCAAGATGCCCCCAAGCGAGACCGTCATCTTTTATTGATAGGCTCCGTGGCAGGCATAGCCGCCTTTCCAGGACAAGTTGAATATTGTGTTGCGAAACATGGAGTCACAGGACTCTATCGCTCATTGATGTGTACAGCCTTTACAAAAGGAATTCGCGTCAACCTAATCATGCCTTACTTTTCCGATACACCAATGCTGTCTACGGCGTTACGAGCAATTCTTGCTGGTACGCCTGTAGGCAAGGTTGATAGCATTGTGGATGCTGGTACAAGACTCATGGGAAGCGGCGTGAGTGGAAAAGCTTTGGTTGTTGGGCCAGACGTGAAAGTGGACAAAAGTTGGACTGTACTTTCGGACCCGTCGAAAGATGGAAAGTCTGTTGCAATCCGAGAGGTATATGGCCAAGATTTCGATGCTGTTGGTACGTGTTCCCTAATCTTCTGTATGAAGCTTTTTCCTCACAACTAAAAATGAAAATAGATGCTTTTACTCTGCGCTATGTAAAACTTATGTATCAAATAACGATATTGAATGGGTGGAGAATGTGGGTCTGCGACATGGTGGCTGCTCTTTTGCATCCTTTTCAAGCATTTTGGAAACGTAACTAAGTTGAAAAAGAGCGAAAAATGAAGAAGTGATTCACAATGGTGGGAAATATACAAAGTAGTAGTGTCATAAGCCTTTTCAATATCCTACTGGTTCAATTATGACATGGTCCCAGTGACAGTCTTACAAACACTAACTATGATTCATCACCCAATATGACAAGAAACAGTACCAAAAATGCGATCGCAATTTACAACAATGACTTGAGTACCGTTGTATATTTCAATCCACTTGCCACCACAACTCAAGATGTAATCGAAAAAACCCGGGCTGTAATCTGCTCACACTACATTTCCAATTCCCGCCAGACAAGATCACCGTGCAAACCAGGATCGGCATTTAATCTTGTTTGGTTTTTGAGCTCTTCATTTCAAGGTATTCGCCTATGAATCCGTTGAAGTCCTCAGGCTGGTAGGGCGAAAATATTTCGCTGAAGAAATTCGATTTCCGGCGTGAATTCAACCCCATATCACGGAAAAGGGAATCCAGATACTAAAAATTGTCAAAATTGTCAAAGCAAAGAAACGAAAAAGCTTATTGCAACTCACTGGGAGAAAATCAAAAAGCGAGTACGGAGTCTTCTGGCCCTGATTCAAATATCTTTTTCGCGACCATGCATTCCACTCTGAAATCTCTTTGACCATCATCTCTTCACTTGGCAACTTGATCTCTCCGAGTAGGTAAAGAATTCCCCAAAATGACTGGATGTCTGCCACCAGTGGGGTTTGCACAGTGTGAATTTGACCTAAGATTATGATGGACCGATCATCATTTTCAGTGCAATTTAGCGGTACCACACGCCGGTAAAGCCTCCCTGGAACTGTTTGATTGGCAAACGAATCTACCACCTTGGGTGGATTTGCCAAAAAAGGAAGCTGGCGATTTATGGAGATGTCAGCTTCGGCATCATACTTTTCCCATTGCAAGCCTGCAGAATCTTGAGTATTGGTCAACCCATCCCTATCAAGAGAGTAGGGCAGACCAAGTGCGAGCTTCGTCGTCTGATCAAACATTTTGAAATGGTCGCCCCAGCCAGTGCACATGACAATGTAGTCAGCCTCTACTTTTGTGCCAGACTCGAGTAGAATAGTGTCTTCTTCGATCGCCTTGACTTTGTCTATCAGTACAGAAACATCTCCATCGTGAATTTTCGCCCAAAAATCAGGTAAAGTGACAAGCCCAACTCCAGCATCCCCCCAGAAGACACTAGAATAGTCAGTTAGGTTGAAGTTGAATTTTCGTAATGCAACCAAGAAACCTACCTTTTATCTTCGATATACGGCTTCAGCATAGAAACATGATTACCTTTAGAATAACCAGCGTGGCGAATACTCAGGTAGTTGAGTACCTCCCAGAACTTGTTGGTGCACCAGAGCCCTAAATTCGTTCTTTGAAACATCCTTTGCAGCGGGTCATCAACATTTAGTATAGAGGGGCTGACGTAGCTCATGAACCTGGTGGAGGAAACAGCTAAGCTTCTCCAGTACCCAAATAATGTTTGAGGTATCAATGGATGAGGTCCTGTACCGTCCGCACGAATAATCCAGATCACTTTCTTCCCCAAAGACAGAAGTAAGTAAACTGTATCATACGCTGATTTCGCGCCTCCAACTACGACTACAGTTCTGACATCAGGACTTTCCAATGACTTAGATGAAGACCCTAAGTCTTTGGAATGGATAATAGGGATAGAGACACTCTGTGCCCGAAATCTGGGCATCTTGGGCATGGAAGTGATTCCTGTGGCAACAATGAGCTTGGTAGTTTCCAGACATTCGACTTTCTCCATCTTCTGGCAGTGAAGTTTCCACCCTGTGGAACAGCGCTCTGCTCTAGCAACAAGGGAAGAGAAGCATATTCGACGCAATAAATCATGTTGCTCTGCATAAGTCTGGAGATATTCATGAATAGTCTCGCCAGCGATGAGACCATTTGTGGAAATTCCAGTTTGTGGAGGCATTGGAGTGTCCGTATAATTGAAAAACCCCTCTGGTACCTGTGCGATAAGATTTGGATAGAGTCTTTCTTTGCACCATACCCCACCAACCGTCTTGTTAGAATCGACTATGAGAAGATTCGTTTGAGGACGAAGGCGAAGATAATTTCGTGCTGCCACCAGGCCGTAAAATCCTGCACGGTAAGTCAATTGCTTATCGACAGTCTGATTTGTTGAGGCCTTTGTGAGCGAATCATACCTGCACCGACTATCACCACATCGTACTTTGTTACCGCTGCTGCTTCTTCCATCTTCAGGTGCTACTCCGACGAATTGAACTTTGTTTAGGTATAGAGTTTGATAATAGCAACAGAGTATCGGCTTTTGGAGATAGTATCTTTGGTAATATCTTGTAATTCTAGAGCAGTTTAGAGACCCATCACTGGGCTTAAATATAGCTGCTCATAACTATAGTTCAGATCGCGATTTAACATTTGATTGCTGAAACAGGGTTTATAGGATACTCAGAAGAGCGAGGTATAGAGGGTGGCATGAAATGCACTTCCCATCAAACCCCGGTACTAATGCTCTTGAATATCAAACTAGGATGTTGATTGTTATTCCATCATCTCTGGCTTATAGTGCCAGGGCATAGCTGTTTGCCGAACACCAAAATCACACCAAAATTCATATAAATTATCTATATATTTTTTGATAATAATATAAATTTTATTTAACAAGCTTAATATAATTCTGTTCATTTTCAATTGAGATTTAATAAAAATTAAATAATTTATTTTTAAGATTTTTATTTATTATAAAATCTATATAGAAACTTAATATAAATTGAAAATATTTAAATTCATTAGTAAAATAAGCGAAAATTAAGAACTTTTCTTTCGATGTAGATTTAATCTTATAAATAATAATATCTCTATATTTTAAAATCAAAAGAATTATAAATTCTAAGTATTTTATTATATCATAAAACTATTTTAAAATCCCGAATAATTTGATAGTTTTGAATATTCCATTTTTGTTTATATAAATAGAGCAAAATGATCATTTTTAATATAATTTTTGAAACTAACGAACAGCTGCGTACGATTACTGTAGCTCGTGGTATAGAGTTATTCTCATTGTACTATGATGGTTGCAGAGTCAGCCTGCAGTCGTCTGACGTGTTCCTAATTAACCTATACCCTGTGGCTTCATTCTTGTAGACATCCCAACAATCGATTAGGCGCTGTGCAGCCCCAGACCATAATCACTACTCTGCCGAAATCCAAAGCAACAAAATATTACTACTTTAGGAAATCCCCCCCTCTCCCTCAAAAAGTGGAACCGTCTCATGGCGCCTTGTAATCGTATAGTTTGAGCCACCTATCATGTGAGCAGCTTCGGTAATAATCTACAGGAAAGCTTTCGAGGGTGCTCACCTGGACCACCCACGAAACTTCAGTGAGCTCTCCTCTCATTCTCAATTAGCTCGCACTATTCCTAGCGAATTTCTAGTACTATTAAACTCGCAATTCGTCACATCCTTCATTTTGTTTCCAGTCTTAACCACGATATCTTGGAGTGTCGCCTTACAATGAACACCTATTTCCGCACACTAACCTTTTCAGCTGTCCTGCTGCTTTGGGGTATCAGCATATGGAATGGCACCATCAAAGCTCTCCTCCTAACGGTATGGCATCAACGATTTGAGGATGGAGTCATAATGCACACCCAGTACACCGGGATCATCATTCTAGATTTTCCCCTCTCTATTCTGGTTGCGTTCTTCTTCTCCAGCACAAACAATTCAAACAGAGAACAACAAATGTTCACGCTCGATGCATTCGCAACGTTTCAACCTGCATATGTTTGGCTATATGCAGAGAGTATACGGGGGACAAAACAGCCGCACACTCTAGGGAAGTGGGTTGAGAATGAAGTCTCCGCAAATATTGAAAGCTGTTAACCGTTATGACTAGTCCAATCGTTTGGGGTATACTTTGGCAGATCTTTGGCGGTGCCGTATTGCTTCCCATTTACTACTCTCGCCACCTTCAATGGGCGAGTGAGCAGCCCGATGTATTGGCTCCATCAGATGTTTCTTCTTCGAGAGCTATACCAGTCAGCTTTATCATAGGCGTTGTACTACCCACAATTATGGCAATGCTGCCTACTTGGTCTCATACTTCGCTCGATCCAGTCGCTCGTGAGCAACACCGATTTTTTCATCACACGTACTCCAAGTTTTGAAATTAGTTTACATATCCTATCCCTTCTAAGAATGCTACAATGACTGATCACTGACACCTTGGTTCTCATAGATCAAAAAATCTTGGCTATATGGCAGCTAACTCCTCTGTGGATGTCCTTAACTCAAGCAGTCATTACTTGGGCTTTGAGTCAATGTGCAGATAGAATGCCCTCTATGTCTTTAAGGAAGAAAGTGATTGACAATAGAATAGCAGCTTGGTGGATTCAAGTATCTTACTTACTTGCAGCCGTATTGTCCTTTTTAGGTCACTTGCACGCGCTCACGCCGGTGGTCTTATCCTCGGATCCAGTCAATGGTGTTCAGAGAGCATACTTGCCATCTTTCTTCACCGCTCTCCTGGAATCGCCAAATATTCTTTCCAGTGGTCCATGGATGTTCCTTCAATTTGATGTCATGATTATTGCATTGTCTAGCATTTCATGGGCATACATCTTGTTGTCGCGCTTGTTGGCACGTCGTTCGGGAAATTTGTGTGACAGTAAACTGGCCCAATTTTCGCCGCTCCTATTCACCCTTTTTCTTCTTGGTGTATCAATTCTTGGGCCGGGTACTACAGTGTGTCTTGCGTTATTTTGGAGGGAGGGAGAATTGCTGAGCTTGCGCTCGGCGGCCTCGATTTCATCCATTAAGGACAAGTCGATGAAAATGCGCTAAGGACCAAATTGTAACGTTACCAAAACTGCATGTGCTGTCGAAAATACGAAGAAGTGGTGGCTATTGAATGGCTAATAGTCTTTGCTGTCAAAGCCTGTCTTATCCGAAAGCAAGTACATCATTAACCAAGAAACTAGGTAGTCGATCGATTATCTTCTGCATAGGTGTAAAAAACCATTCTGAGACCCCTTGACTTCTCAACCACTTGTTTCTATGAAACGGTTCATTTCCATGATTTTTTTGACAGCTTTTCAACAACCATACTCGCGAGTTCCATTACATTTACAAACTGTAAGTTAACTTTTCAGGAACATTTTGTTAGGATTTTCTTCCCCAATGACAATTGAGATTCAAAATTATGTCTTCTTTTCCTGAGAAAATATTTCGGAAACACTTGTTTCATGAACTACATAATAAGTCCAAACCTTTTCAAGAAACATAACTTCATATTATGACAGAGCTTGAAACCTAGAGTGACACTAGATTTCAAAAAATTTGACGATTTGGAACCGGAACGGTTGTGTTTTCCCATGCGTTAACACGAGCATAAATATACAATGTCGAACATCGATGGTACCCAAGCTGATATGAAGGATCAAGGTTGGAATAACAATGCCTAGAATCATCGGTTTCATGACTCAACACCGCTATCTTATGGTCCAGCGCGATCAACAAAGGCCGTCTTGACAGAGATGATATTGCACCACCGAGTCCTTATACCCTTGCAGTCTGTAAATGTGAAATTACAGTAGCACGAAAACCATTTCCGTTTGCGTATTGCATTAGCAACTATCTTTCTCTGTACCAATGACGAAGCCGCTGATTCTGGCGTGAAAAAAAGATTGGCTATGCTGAGAGCAAATATAGCGACCCCTATAATGCTAAGATCAGAGCTTGGGATATAGTGGAGTGGGTATTTATGATGTCCCAGTACTGGATTTATATTATTGCTTATTTGACAATGTACCTGAACCACCTGCGGGGGCACATCTCCAAGAAACACATGAGCCTGGAATTTGGAAGATGGAACGAAACAACTATTTGTTCACACTATCGAAGGGTGAATATAAATTCGCCTGTTGCCAATATATCCATCCGCTAGCTATATGACTTATGTGCACACGACTCTAAGACTTTTGCTCTTGTCTATCTAAAACCTTTGAAAACGCCCCGAAATGCTGTCATTTTGAATTGTATTCCAAAAGGAACTATCCAATCCCATCAAATCCAATATACTAATAAACTATCTATCTATAGACGATCCAACAAACCCGCGCTCTCCAACATCAAGATAATTGAGTGAACAGCATTTCTGACACTAGTCTTCTCGATATCAACGGTGAAGTCGGCCTTGGAAGGAATCTCATAAGGATCATCAACACCAGTGAAACCCTTGATTTCACCGTTACGAGCCTTAGCGTAGACACCCTTCTTGTCGATCTTCTCAGAGTGCTCAAGACTGGTAGCAACGTGAACGAGATAGAAGTCACCATACTTCTCAACCATTTCACGAGCATGCTTACGAGCATCTTCATATGGTGCAATTGGTGCAGCAATGACGGCAGCACCGGAACGGGTCAACTCGGAAGCAACGAATGCAATACGGCCGATGTTGCGGGTTCGGTCAGCACGGCTGAAGCCAAGCTCCGAGGAAAGCTCGGCGCGAACAGTCTCGCCCAATAAAAGTGAGACAGAACGTCCACCTTGTTGGTTGAGAGTAGTTTGCAAAGCACGTGCAATTGCGTCTTTGCCAGAGCTGTGGTAACCAGTAAGGAATACAGTGAAACCTTGAGCAGAACGGGGTGGGTGAGATTCTCTAAGAACACGGACAACTTCTGGGTAGGAGAACCATTCTGGAATCTCACGACCAGAGCGAAGTCTAGAACGGAGCTCAGTTCCGGAGATGTCGAGAGTACGGGTACCTTGTGGGACCTCGTCCTTTGGTCTGTATTCGTCGCTATCTGGGAGGTAAGTCATCATTTGGAAAGGAACGACCTCAATTCCGAGCTCATCCTTGAACTTCTCAACAGCGTATTGAGCATCATATGGACCATAGAACTCCTCTCCCTTGCTGTTCTTTCCTGGTCCGGCGTGATCACGTCCGACGATGAAGTGTGTAGCACCATAGTTCTTTCTGATAATGGCGTGCCAAACAGCCTCACGAGGTCCACCCATACGCATAGCGAGAGGAAGAAGACCAAGAACGGCCATTCCGTTAGGATATCTAGGAAGGAGTGCCTGGTAAACACGGACACGGGTGAAATGGTCAATGTCACCTGGCTTGGTAAGACCAACGACTGGGTGGATAAGAACGTTGGCTTGACGGGCTCTAGCGGCACGAACAGTCAACTCTCTGTGGGCTCTGTGCATAGGGTTTCTGGTTTGGAATGCGACAACCTTGGACCAGCCGAGCTTGTCGAAGTGGAGTCTCATTTCTGCGGGGGTATCTTTTCTCATATTAGTAGCTTTCTAGAGTTTCTAGGAACCGAATCACTCACATCTTAAAGCAACGTAATCGTAATGTTCTAAACGGTTAATGGCGTCAATCTTTCCTCCAACATAGAATTCAGCTGCAGTGTTGTATAAATATTTAACTGCAGGGTGATCGGCATCACCACCGAAAACTTCCTTAGCTTCCTTCTCCCTATCAATTTGTTAGATCTTTCTCATTCATCTAGGTCGGAATTACACACTTGTTGGGTCTGTAAACATCCTCGACGTTGATAATTGCAAGGTTTCTGTCGTCACGGAAATCGCGAAGAGTAACTCTTGCTCCTGCTTTAATTCCCAACTCTTCGATTTGTTCTTGAGATACATCGAGTGTAATTGGCATACTGAAGACGTTGCCATCTGCCAATCGGTTGTTTTCAACGACACTGTAAAATGTTAGGCTAGTAAAAGTATTTTCGAAAGCGCAGTCTCGTACCCATTGTAATCCTTCTCGGTCATAAAACCTGGTAATGAGAAATTAGCAATTGTTGTCGAATTATAGATAGATTTCTGTTATCATATCTTGGCAGATTATATTCAGAATGGCGGGGTCATGATGCCCCTCCATATAAGCGGAAATGACATACCTTCAAGGGGAGAGAAACCACCACTCAAAATCAATTCGAGATCGCAAAGTTGTCTCTCAGTGAGAACAATAGCGGGAAGGGTTTCGGCCTCTGTTGCAAGTTCATTGTGTCTTGACAAATCTCTTGCGAGAAGATCTCTGTTGCGATCGTTAGTTAATTCGCATCCTAACCCCCCCAAGACTTCCTCCAGTCTTATTAATTTCGCATTCTTACTTGAGGACACCACCATGAGGAGAGTTTGCCATATCTGCGTTTGATAGTAAAAAGTAGTTGATCCAAGCAATATGTGGGAAGAATTGAGGATATCAGAGAGTCTTCTGGGAATGTACTATGTATGTATGAAGAAGTTGAAGAGGAAGAGAGAGAGAGATGGATAGATAGAAAGCAAGAGTGCAAGTAAGTCGGGAAAGAGTGGGTATAAATAAGTTATAGAGAAAGAACAAGGACGATACTACTTTTATAATGTCCGTATCAAATTATGTGCCTCCCAAGAGAATTTAATATTTTTTTTCTTTACTAAAAGCTTCAATATCCTCTCATCCGCCTTGTATGGAACCCGGTTTGGGAAAGGCATGACCTAGAGGAAATGACGTGCTCGGCAGCTCTTCACTTACAAAGACGCGTATGTTAATGATAATGACACGTAAGGCTATCAAATTATTAAACCAAAATAGATCTTTTATATGGGGAAGATGTTTGATAGCTCGAGATAGCCGTTGAATGATGTGGGAACGAAATGGGATATGGGGGTGAGAGTATAAATGTGGATTAGTACACCTGTATATGTAACGAAGGGGGGAAATCATTTGTCAGAATGACCAAAGAAAGTTTTACGGAGATGGAGATGGAAATGTAGATGGAGATGGAGATGGAGATGCTAACGATAATATAATATATAATACATAATACTTACGATAGATATATCTAATTGTCAATTGGAAGGCTGGATGGGTGGATGGGTGGAAGGGTTTAGTCTTGGTATGTTCTACCAGCTATCTGATTGACATTTCACTATTATCCATCTTCTAGACAGAAGAAATAGATATGATAGGTAACGCTCAAATCAAGATTGCTTTGCTTGTATGTAATAAATTGAATGTCTACCTACAGTTTCAAAGCAATGCTTGTTTGAACTCCATATCATTCTCCATTTTGATTGAATAAACGTTCCCCTCCCCCTTTCCGCGCGGCACCTGAACCATAGATCGCTACTTTTCTTAATAGGGGGGGTTAGATGATGTAGGCCTCGTCGTCAATTGTTCTATCAAGACCAGATGTTTCAAATTTCATGTGGATCTTTCTCTATGATAATGATATGCAATCGTCCGATATGAAATTACCAAGGTGTATATCATCGTTTTATAAGGATCTTCCGGAATCTTTCTATGTGTAACCAAAGGATATATACACATGCCACTTCAGATATTGCGATCCAGATACAGATAGTTCATGAAACCATCTGCATACTATTCATATGAAGCAAAAGGCAAGCTACTTTTTCAACGTTCGCTTCAGGAAGAATACCAAGTATGGATGTTCCTGCAGGTGAACATTCGAAAGGAAGAAAGGAAAGGAATGGTTCAGAAAGGATTAACCTCACGTGAATGACGATAGAAATTGAACCATCAAATGTTATCTTATCGTTATCTCCGTACATACGTGCACGGAAATTCGGGCTCGGTATTTGCCGTTCTTTATTTTGATGCTTAGGGAAGTTTGAAGAAGTGACAAACTTTTGAATTTGGAAACCTCAAGCCTTTTTCTGCCAAACAATTTACTACAACAAGATGTCTGTAGTAGCAGGTTTGAAAGGCGAAGCTTCGCAACAAGCTCGATCGCTGGTAAGTAATCATAAATATTATCCCGCAAATGGTTGCCACTTCGATGTCACAAAAGTTGTGATGCCAAGCCATGAGAGGGAAT